GCCTGAGTTAATGTACCAAACATACTCAGGAACTGTACTAAAGTCTCCTGAAGTCCGGGGGTAACAACAGGTGCTTCTGGTACCTACCCCTAATTGGAGCTACTGGCGGCTCCTCAACTGTTGTTCTGACAGGTGCTCTAGTCGCGGCATGTGCCCTTCCTCGGCCTCTACCTCTTACGGCCCTAGCAGTATGTGCAGATGCCTGCTCAGCTAACCCGGTTGCACGTGTCCTCACCTTCTATGAGAGAGTAGAGATGCAAAGGCTCAACTTCCAAATTCAACAAGTTCCGCACGACAGGAATGAAAGAAGTGGAAATTTCCTAACAATTCTTGTCAAACCCCGAACCTGGGGGGCGAGACCGGCACCCGGTGCCTCACCTATCCTTGCGTACCAACTTACAACTAAGGGACTCTTAACCTATGATGTCATTCTTTGGCCATGGCCCACATTGCAAGACAAGTGCGAATACTAACTAAATATCAATATAAATCTGGGCCGACAAGGCCGTCATAACTACTACAGCTGGCAAACCAACAACATATACATAAAAGGCCTACAAGCCCAACATACTGCACTAACTGACAGGATATGTCCACAAGCCTCTACTGGTGGATATACTGTGATCGGAACAGCTCCCCGACCTATTCATAACATATATACGTAGATACACAAGATATACATAAAGCTCTAGACCCGGCAACTCCGAAAGGCTTGGAGCTTACCGATCAAGCTGAACTCGGGCAACACTTAATGAGGAGGTTTACCCGTCTGTCTGTATGAACCTACACGCATGAAATGTGTAACACCCCATAAATTTGAGTCAGTTGTGGATGCATTAAATGAGTATTCATGTGATGGTTATCAATTGATTATGATAATAAGTGTACGAGGTATATCATAAGTGATTTGGGGTCCAAGGAGAGGCCTAAGTCTAAGCAAGTTGGAAATTACATGATAGACTAAAAATTCCATATGAGTACGCACAAGACCAAACTTTGCACGAGCATATCTATATTTATATAAGGTATTATGTGATTCACAACCTATGAAATGAAATATCTTTGAGTCTAGTTTCTAACGCTTCAAACCGTTCGTTATTTGGACGTTCCTACAAGAAGTTATGACCAAATTACTAAAGACATACCACCCAGTTATTTTGGCGTACAGCGAAGCGACCTCGCTTCGCCAAAGTAGACGTGGATTTTGTCTTCCCTTGAATGCAATGGACAGCGAAGCGAGGACACTTCGCTATAGTAGACGCGCCCTAGTCCCAGCTCTTTTAAGCCAATTTCAGGGTTCATTTTTCCCTATTTCTTTTGGACGAATTTTAGGGTCTTCTTCCACCCTCTCAAGACCTCCAACCCCTCCCATCTTCAAGGTAAGCAATCTCCATTAACTTGGTGTGAAATTCCATCATTCTTACACTAGTATTGATGAAATCTACTCATAAAACACATAGATATTCAAGAAATTTCTTCAAGAACTCAAAGGAGGGTTTTGCAAGATTTCTTCCAAAAGATAATCCTACATCCTTATACTTACATGTATGAATTTATTATGGGTATAGGAGTGTGAATTAAGTATTGGGACTCTTGGTGTGGTGATTAGAAGCCATAAGTTCCTAATATAAATACATAATTATTGTAGAGATTGGAAGGTGATTATTTGATGGAATTTTGTTGGTTGGGTGTAGATGGATTGTCATACATGTGATGTTGGAAGTTATAAATTCGAACGGCCCTCGCCAGTGCATCTCACAAGCCGGTTTCGACTGCGCCTGGCTATTGCGCAGACTTCTGCCGATGCCACACCGGCCCTTGATGGGCTGTAGCAGTTATGATGGGCATGTTGAATTAGTGGGACTGAGCTACATTGCTCCATTGTTCTGCTTGCTGATGGACATTCCCTCAGGAAGTGGCCACCATGTGACCGCACTGCAAAGCACCTATTTGTGCCAAACGACCACAACCACTGGGTGTCCTCTTACCACACGTGTTGGCAAGTAGGTAACCAGGGACTCGAGGTAGCCTCACACTAGGACCTGTGACTGTGAGTCTGGTTGCTTTGTGAAAATTCTGTTTTTTCTTGTTAAACTTTGACCTTTGAATCCGGTGCACTAGGCTGAAGAACGGAGCAGGTCCCTGATTCTTGATTTCTTCTTGAAAACATGCGACTGCCTGCCTGCTTGAGATCGCCCATGCTGAAATTTCCTGGTGCAGACTTAACTGCTCTATTGCTGAATTCTCTGTCTTCTCTTCTTCATGTAGCCGCTCTTTGCTTCTTTCACCTGTCTTCGTTCTTGAACCAAAGGAAACCATCTTAGTGATGGTCATGTCTATTTATTATGAGGCAGGCTATATTAGCTATGCCACAAAAGCAATCCATCTGTAAAGACCAACACAAAACCCGCCGTAACTCTGGCCCTCATATCTTTTTATGTACCATTTCCCGACTATCGCATGTGCCTTAGAGGACAACCCTGATAGCTCCATTCACGCTCCATCTTATCTTTCGTTGATTTTGAATCAGATAAGCAATCAAATGCCCAGCACTCGGACTCACACGGCATTACTCCCTATCTCTGATCGTCACCGTTACGGCTAGTACTTGAAGGAACTAGGTAGACTCACTCACACTCATTCATTAGCTCCACTCAAAGTGTTTAAGAGAACCCAACGTAGCAATGGTCAAAGGAACGCATCTGCAAATTCCTGTCCAAGTCGCAGGATCCTGGATCCTCCCCTCGCGGACTCTCCATGTTTCATACCAAGTGTTGCAACATCTTCAGCTGGTACACAGCAAGCTCTGCTGCTACAGTCTTTGTAGCATGCATCACTCGAATATATTCTGAACTCTCATCAATGAAGTTTTGCGGATCCTCATCCTTTTTGGACCCTGTGAAGACGCGGAGGTTTCTATGTTGAGGAATTCCCTAGAACCTGGAACTACCCCGTCGATGATGAAACATCGACTTGTTCCCTGCTTGCTTGAGCCTGAGTAGCAACAATCTGGGTGAGAACTGGATACGCTCCCCTGACGTTCGCATGTCTGAAGCACTGGGCACTGAGCCGCTGCAACCCCCTGGGCCGGTAGTTGTCCTCTCTTTGAGCGGCATTAGTTGTGGCCCTGGCTAGCAGTGGTTGGCCCTCCTGGTGTACTTCTTTTTGCCAGGCATTTTTCTAAAATACGAAATTCGCCATGGGTTAGAAAGATTCCTGAAAGCATAGCTCTAACTGCACGATCAGAGTATGAAAGAATGATAACAATCTAGATGTCTTGGTGGTCAACTGTTTACATGCTGTGGCCGCCACAACACACATAAAGAGACCCACTGGACACGGCTCTTCATAGACTCCCTAGGACTCTTGAAACTAGGGCTCTGATACCAAGCTTTGTCACGCCCGAAACCATGGTCTGGGCATAACACGACACTCGGTGCGCTGACTGCATGTGACCGAGCGAACCAACCGCATGGCTGGATCAACATGTGGTATAACTATGAGCTAGAGGAAATATAAAACATGATAATCTACTAAAGAGTCTGACTAAATATATCATAGATGCGGAAAATACTGAAGGTCTGCAAGTATAAACAAGTAGCCGACAAGGCTAACACATAAGGCCTCGTAATATCTGACTGACCGGGTTATAGTCTACAAAGTCTCTAAAGAATAACTGAAAATGCCAACTGTTTACCGGAGAACAAGTGTCTCCGACATATACCTTATTAACTGAATACTATAATGACTAAAACAAAAGAGAGATAAGGCCCTGAAAGACTGGGGCTCACAACAGCTGATACGAGATGTCCTAGCGAGGCAGGATCGTCAACCTGAAAATCGTTTACCTGCATCGCGAGATGCAGACCCCGGCAAAAGGGACGTCAGTACATTTGAATTGTACTGGTATGTAAAATAGCTGAACAAAAAGACACTGTAAATACTGAAACTGAAAATGAACTGCTAGCTGATAAACTAATAACTGAATAAGGAAGTAAGGATGTGAATACTCCCTCTCCTCAATGAAGCACAACCTGTTTAACTGGATATTAAACTGTGGCCTCAGGCTCAATATATATATATATATAATATATATATATTATATATATATATATTATATATATATTATATATATATATATGTGCACAACTGCGGGCCTTGGGCCCAAAGTTACGTATACATTAACTGTGGCCTTCAGGCCCAAAGATGCATAAAGCATGAACTGCAGGGGCCTCAGGCCCAAACCACAGTCGTGTTCAACATTCAAGAATATAAAATCAAGAACTGAGAATCAAATTACAATACATGATACTGAAATAATGAGCCTTACAAGTTACATGATCTGGAATAGTGAATAGGATTAGACTAAGATGGGTATTCACAATAAGTTGATTTGTCATAACTGAAACTCATAGAATCGAAGGATTATGAGACTGCCATCTAGAGAATAGAAGTTCTACTACAATTCAGGAATTGAAGGCAAGTTACTTTCTGAGGAAACTGGGTAATGGTTCATATGAATGGGACGTAGGGAGAATCATAGACATTTCCCAAACGTAAAGAGGTAGCCTTACTACCTCAATTTCATTCATAGTTACTACAATGTCCACAATACTAGAACCTTCAACTACAATAGCAAACATCCCAATGGAACCAATATTAAGTAATAATCCATAACTTAAGCCATTTAGGCATATTATCAAACACCTCTGTTAGGCATAAATCTCTACATCTCATCGCCATATAATTAATTATCTAACTACCACCATCTATCAACAAATTTATTTCCTTACCATCGCATTGATTGAAACCTTT